GTGGTTGATATTGTGCGTTTACTTGTTGATATTGTTGTTGATTTCCAGTTTGTACGCCTGGATGCCCATTCATATTTGGAGGTGGTTGGTACTGTGTATTGATTTGTTGATGTTGATATTGTGCATTCATTTGATTCGGATTTATTTGGCCTTGTGGATGCACTTGACCCTGGTAGATTTGATTCGGATGTACTTGTCCTTGATTCACAACATTTGGATTATGTTGAATCAGATTGGGGTCAACGTGTTGCTGCGGATAACCACCTGGTTGCTGCGGATAACCACCTTGATATTGATATTGTTGTGGATGCTGATTTGGATAGTATCCTTGTGGCATATTTGGATGTGGTGGCAACTAATAAAAATGATTTAAATTTTATTAAATCTTCGAATTTATTCAATCGATAATAGTTCAAATACTTACCGCTCCTTGAGCAATTAAACGTTGAATTTCTTCTTGTCGACGTCTTTCAAATTCCAAATACTCATCGTGAGTAAATTGTGGTTGATTATCGACTGTGTCCCAATTTGGATCGCGATTAAATTCTTCACGCTTCGTTTGGGCAATGAATTCTTCCAAACTAATCAAATTGTCATGATTTGTATCAGCTTCTCGGAAAACATGCTCTCTCATACGTTCCATTTCTTCAACACGCTCACGCATATCATCTTCGGGCAAACCAGACTGATATACTTTATCCAATTCCTTAACGAATAGTGCCTTCACTTCGGTTTCATCCCAGAAATTATTGCCATCCAGATCTATCACAAAATATGCAAACGTTAACAATGCACAAATGACCCTTAATCGAAAAATTGTCTTACCATGCATCATAAAGAAGGTTTTTGGATCGAAATCAGCAACATCCATGTGGTCTTGTTTCTCCCATACTATAGATAAATTTAAATTTACCGTTTTTGTATTTACAGAAATAATTCGACTCACCTTCTTCAAGCTGCGCCTTATTTCCCGGATGATGTACACGTTCGTGTTTGTTATGTTTCTGTTGCTGAACTTTCAAATCTTCTTCATACTTTTTACGATGCGCTTCATCCATAGCACGTAGTTTTTCCTGTTTTTCAAATTCCTTTTGCAGTTCATATTCCTAGTGACGAAGAAAACAATTTAAATATCCACATGATGTTAAAAAAAGAATGAACGTTAATTAAAAAAAAAATCGTTGGTGTGAATTCAAGTACCTTAAATTCATCTCGTCGTTTTCTGTCTGCTTCTGCCAAATCTTCGGATGTTTGCTTAATTAATTTCTTTAAATCTTCAATTTCGAATGTGTGCTCATTTTCATGGTCCAAATGCTTAGTATCGGAAATTTTCATGTGCGCACGGTCTATGTCATTGGTGAGTTCAAACTTTAAAACGAATTCAAAGGAATAAGATTAGTGTCATAAATAAGTGACAGAAATTGTCTCCCACTTACGTGTTTGATGGCTGCTAGACGAAGTCTCTCAACTTCTCGTCTTTTAATTTCATCTAATTTCGATCGAACATGATGACTAACATTTTCCAATTCATATGCTATTTTGCCCGACCGAATATCGACATCGGTGGCATTTTCAAGTTTTTTTCGAAATTCCGAATCAGTTTCCAATGCATTCACTACTTCCTTTAAATACCGTTCATATTCTAAAGCACCCTGAAACTTTTGGTATAAATTATCGATATTCAGAAATAAAATGATATTTGTTAGTAAGATGATGAGAAACGATGTTGGTAAGTAAGATGATTAAGTATCAAAGATGATTATAATCTCAAGTGGTTTTGTTTTGAACAATCAATATGGGGACGTCACACATTCCACTAATTATCTTTAGTGATAATCATTAGTAGATGTCTTTGTAATTTCAATGATTTTATATAATTAATAGAAAACTTACATCTAGTTCTTCGTCGTCTTTATGTTCCTTATTTTCTTTATTTTCTTCATTTTTCTTATCAACAGCGCGTGCAACTATAACATTAACAAGTAATGCAAGTGTAAGAAACAAAACAAATTGTTTCATTTTGATTTTAAAATGATGAAAATCACGTCTATACTAAAGTGCTTGAGATTTGGTTCGTATAACTTAAGTGTGTGTCTCCAATGTGATTTCGTTGCTAATATCTCTAAAACTAATGACGAAATTACATGAATTGAGCGAAACTCTCATTTGACACTGACGTGTCAAAATCAAAATGTTTTGTTTTTGACCGACGACTTAAGATGCTATACAGTTGAAGCATAATAATAATGTACTTGAAGAATTAAAACTAATATGATTTGCTCAATGCGCGTTAGATGGCGTCATGTACAAGTGTAAACATATGTATAAATTGACATTTCATTCGGTGTTTTTCATTTAGTTTGTTGTTGAGTCTCCGAGTGAAACAATCGAAAATAATTTCCAGTTAAAAAAATGCCGTTGCCGCCCGCATTGTTAAAACGTTTGGCAAAACGTGGAATCGTTGATAAAAAGCGTTTACCAGGTGAATCGAAATCCGTACAACCAGCCGAAGAAATTATCGCCGAAGACTATGATGATGTTAATGAAACGCAACCATTTGACTACGACTACGATTTTAAGTCACAATCAAAGAAATCGCAACAAAACTTTTGGAGTGAACGCTTGAAAAAACGAATCGTTGATGGAAGCATTAATGGTTACAAAGGATGCCCAAATAAGTACAACATTTATCATAAGTGCTCGCTATTTTGTGTGAACACATTTGGTGATGGTATCAAAGAGCCATCAAAGGGATATACAAAACGAAAAGTCCGATTGAATCGAAGATATCCGCTACCCAAAGATTGGAAAGAAATCTATGATGAAGGAGTGTAAGTATTAACGTCCAAAAACGATTATTTTCAGAATTTTTAACCAAAAATAATACGTATCATTTTAATTTGAATATGTTTAGAGGCACTCATTACTACTGGAATACAATTGATGATATCGTATCATGGTTACCTCCAGCTCATCCGAAAGCAGAATTAACAAAAAGTGCCGCAGTACTACGTAGAGAATTGGAGGCTTCACAGCCCGAACAAGATGATTATGTTGATACCAATGCACAGCAAACAATGGAAGGAGCTGAACCGGGATATGCAAGTGATGGCGATCATTTAAATGTGGTGCGTGAACGTGAACGTGAACGTGAACAACCATCGAAACCGGCACCATTGAAAAAAACGAAAACACGAGATTTAGAAAAAGTTCTTCGCTCTAAATATGAACGACGCATGAAGAAAGATGCATCAGAAACAAGCTTAGATCCAATGGACCCGGCAGCCTATTCAGATATCCCAAGAGGAAAATGGTCAGCAGGATTAACTGAAGAAAATTCAAAAACTGGTGCAGATTCTACAGTTAGTGGTACTATATTTCAACAACGTCCGTATCCAAATCCGGGTGCAGTTTTAAGAGCGAATGCAAATGCACAAAAAAGCAAAGGAAACAGCGACAGCAATGACAGTGATCAGCAAGACAATTGAGTGTTTCCAATTTAAAGTCCATGTCTAATCATTTAAATTGAAAATAAATAGCAAAACATTATGAAATAAAAGCGGCAAGCCACACATTTTCGATATTTCTTCTATCTTTTTTGTAATATTCATAGGTTTTATTCCAAGAAAAAAGATTTTTTCAGATTTCCCGAGATCTAATGTAGTTCCATTTACTTTCCAGAAAACTATAAAATATTTAGAAAGATGCTAATGCAAGGGGCGAAGACTTTGTACCTTTTATGTATGTATTTTGGTGAATGTTGCTCTGAGAAAATACAGATGATAAAGGATTAGTCGCAAAAAATGAACAAAGGATGAGAATGCATTTGAAAAAGCAATTAAAAATATGTCACCATTGTAGTTTGGTTCTAGATGCCATTACTGCATTCGGTTATTTTTTCTAAAGAGTTAAGCCTTTTTGTAATTTGTAGTTCTTCAATTGGTTTCTGTCAAATAGTTTATGAAACTGTTATATTGCTAAAATTAGATTGAACCTGGCATATTTATAATATAATAATTAATAAGTTTTAGTACTGAATGGAAAATACTTGAAATTCGATAACAAATCATTTAAACAGCTTAAATAATTTGGATGAACTTCGTATTAAAATGATTTCTCCTTATGATTTCGGACTAATGACTTTGCTAAAAATTACTCACAATGCATACATCGAAGATTTGGAACTGAATTTTGGATCTGAATCAATGATTTACGTTATCATGACATTTTGAAAGCGGTTAAGCTAACAATCCAATTCAATTTCTAGACCCAATATTTTGTCTAAAAATTCAATAGCAAGAAAATTGAAGTACCATTCATCAAGTTCTGCGCGCACTTCTCAACATAAATGCATGATTGACAGTAGTTAATTGGATACTTTACAGAATGTCATTTATTGAAAAAGGACACAAAAAAAAATAAAGCACAAAATATTTGTATTGTAAAAATGAAAGGAAGGAAAAACAATGTGACCTATATGTAAATCAATTAAATAGAAATATTTCGTTTCTTTCTGTTTTTGGGCGGCAATCTGTTTTAATTGTATTCCATCGTTCACATCAAGAAGTTCTACTATTGGCTGGCCATACTTATTGATCTATTTCAATAGAATTACATGGAAATTGCATGGAACCCAATTCCATAAAGCGTTACAAACTTAACATTCCTGAGCTTAAATTATTTCGTGGTTTTTCTCATGATTATTATTTGCATTCAGAGGGATTTATCTCTGTTTCTTTGTTTGTCACAAAATCTTTGCTACTAGTTTATTTCATCTGCATCGGTCCTAATTGAATGTAGTGTCGTTTATCCATTGCATTTCAAAAGCTATTCCAATATATCATCCATCAATGGGAATGTGTTACAACAGTGTGATAAAAGAAGGCATCTATTTTTAATCGATCCATCCAAATATTATGTTCATATGTAACAATGTTCGCATCGTTGTTTTTGCATCGAATTTAAAAAAAAAAAAAGAATTAACTTTTTTCTTCATAATAGGCGAAGACACTACTTTATGGATCTTGTTCATTTTTGATTAAATAAATTAAAAAAATATATATATTTGGTAAATAAGCCCTAAATGAATAAAACGGTTGAAATCCATATCCCATTTACAGAAAACAAATTATACGATTATATTTTGAATCAGAACATTTGAAGTAGTCTACTTGTTAATTTCATTAATGTATTGCGTTTATCGGCTGTGATGTATACATTTATCGTCTGTGATGTGTACTGATTCGATATTGCGGAGCATAAACGAATAGAAATTTAAGAGAAAATAATAAATGTGTATCAGAAGTTTCTTTTATTCATTCTCAATCAATGAATGATCGTTGTTCTTTTAAGCCTGTAAATAAAATGGAAAATAAATAATACTTGGTTTGTTTATGCCAAATTTTTGTAATAAAACACTTGTTCGTAAACCATTCATACCGGTTATTATATTGTACATGATTTAAATTAGATTATTATTGATGATCTAATCAACGCCCGCAAATCCTTGACTACCTTCAATCGCTTGCACTAGCTTATCTTTTAACTGTGAATAATTCTCATATGGCGGCAAATCCAAACGATTGAAACTGAAATTAATAAAATTAAAGCCAATTAAATTAAATTAAATTAAATTAAACCAGTTGAATTAAATTCAATCAATTTTATGATATTTACCACGTGTGTGCTCGTGGATAAGACTCAAGTGTGCCCCATTTTTCAATTGTAAACATTTGTGGCCCATTTGAACCGTATAATTCTTTAAAACCATTCATTGGAACTCGTGATGTTCCCGTAACAAATTGTAGTAAACGTGCCCGCATTTCATTTGAGAATGATAATACTGCTCTCCAGAACCATTGAATAACAATGTGATTGGCGTAATAGTCACCTTTGTATAAAGAGTTTTTCTTCCAGTCTTTAACGTCAATATTTTGTATGCCGCACATCAACAATTCCAATTCGTTTTCGTCGAAAATTTTAAGCAATGCTAACGGACATATGGAACCAAAACCATCCAAAAAGCTGCTCATTTGCTCTTTGACACGAGATACAAAACGCCATTCAATCACCAATCTGTAATATGAAACATTATGCATGTACAAATATGAATTTAGGGTCACGTTTTTTTTTTTCAAGTGTATTCACCTTATATATTCATCTTTATTGTCGTTTGTGACTTCAATTTCAGCACCGTTGGGCTTGAGCTCGCGTTGTGTGGTATGACCAAATGTTTCCTCATCGACACAAAATGTTAACATTAGTTCGTCCGGATTGTTTTCTTTGATCCACAACAATGAATTGTAGTATTCCATATCAACGGATTCCATATCTCTTAAGTCTATCGGTTTTTGTAACATCATTTTATAAAAAGGTCTAATGAAAAACGCATCCAATAATTTTCCATGATAAACAGCCATTCCAGCAATTTTTCCAATGAACCTATTTACATCAAACGAACAAATAAAAAAATTAATGCAAACACATTGCATTAGCATATTGATTGGCATTCGATTGTATTTCATCAGATATTTACTTGAAATAATTTAAATGCTCTTCGTTGCACAGTCCACTAAATGGATTGATCTGAAGCGTATAATTGTCCATAGCTGAATATTCAAATAACCCGTAGTATGGATTGAACATTTCCTTTGACAAAAGGAAAAACCATTCACGGGCCAATCCACCGTAATCGAGACCAGCTTCACCCTCGAATTCGATCCATAGTTTTGTTTTCAATATATCGGTTTTATTCACGGTATTTATGATTCGATAAGAGTCTTCGAAAATTGATGCTCGTCGTACTTTCACTTCAAATTTATTAGGCACATTTGTCTGTGGAAATTCAGTTGAAATTAAAAAAAAAATGAAGATATTCTTTACTGCGTACAATAATAATCCAAATATATAAAAACTACGTACTGGTTTCCTCAGCTGACTCTTAAAATATTCGTATTTTTGTTTGTAATCTCTAGAATAAGGTACTGCTTGGCCAGCTATATTTGGATTAGATAGTCTTGGATCTTCCCATTGTGTAGTTCGTGTATCTGAAATGTGAAAAAAACACGTTGTTGTTAGCAAAACACGCCGATGAAATGGATTTTATTTAAATAAACCTACTGTGATCAATGAAGAAGATTCGACCATCCACATGTACACGTTCTTCCCAGCCTTCAGGCAGTGGGCCCAAGTCATCATCGGGTGGTCGTGTTTGGCTTGGCATGGGACTTGCACGACCTGTCCGTGGATCAATCCATGAAGTTTTCTTTTCATTGTGATCAATGAAGAACATGCGACCGTTTGGTGCAATTTGCATTGTCCAACCGCTGGGAAGCCCTGCCTCTAAATTGTTTGCCGGATGCGAACTTTCGCTTGTCGATGTTTCATCACTTGAGCTCTGTCTTGACTGGCCGGTTGTTGAATTGGGACGAACGGCTGCATTCGATGTACCACTATCAGCTGTGTCTATATCTTCATGCTACCATGATGAAACAGTGAAAAAGTAAATAAAACAATTAATATATATCAATAAAAATATGCAAACATGGAAACACGAACAAATAATCTAAACTATCACAAAAACCAGCGATAAATACACACGCAAAATGCCTGAATCTTGTTTCTGGCACCGTTTTTTTTTTCTTTATCGCGCACATACATCAATGGTGTACTAACTCGTCTAATGATAATCTAAAGCAGAAGCTACTTGTGTTTTTACGACGAACATTTATTGTTTGTTATTAAATCTTTAGCCAAGCAATACACAAAGTCAGTTATCAAAGTCGAAGGTTTTTTTACCAATGGATGCTCAGATGCAACGTCTTGATGAGGTTCATCGTTGAGAGATGCGTCATCACTACATAGACTTAGTGATGAATGATCTGAGTCGTTGTCGTCAGATTGATCATGCTAGTTTTTTTTTGTATGCGATTTTTTGTTGAAAATATTTTAAGTATGTTTGTACATTCAATCCGATAAAAAAACATCGATTCAAATCAAAAAAATCATTTTTGTGATTCCATAAACATGCATTTTAGTAAATAAAAGAATCCAAATATCATATGAACATTTGAACAAATTTTGATGCATAATGTATGTAATTATTGTATCATATACCTGGTGTTCACGATCTTCTGATGCATCAACGCTAATGTGGAAACGTCGTTCAAACTGCATAGCAGCAGCATCAATATCACTACTTGAAACTGGATTTGTGTCGCTGCAAATAAATTATTCAACATAAATAAATTATTTACATGGAACAGAGATCGATAAATTGATTGTGAAATGTAATAAGAGGTACCCTGAAGGACATTCCCATTGTGTTGTTCGTGCAACGTGATTCACATAATAGGTCCTTCCTGCAATAAATAAAGTGGCAAATTTTCAAATGACAAATTTTGTCAAATTGAATTTATGTCATTCAAAAAATTACCGTTGGCATCTTGACGCATCTCCCATCCATCCGGCAATGGTGGTGCAACAGATGACGTTGGATAGGCAGTCTATTAAGATGAAATGAGAATAAAAATAATCGCTATTTTCTGATATATGATGCATTTAAAACTGACTTGATTTTGAGCTGCTGTCTCAGCATCCGTTTCGGCCTCATTGACTAATTCCCATTCCGGTTCATTCGATGATATGGTATCAGGTGTATCCAAATCGCGAATGAATGCATGGTAAACTTCAAGTGTTCCTCTTACTCTAGATCTAGCACTGTGAAATTAAATAATCGATCAGTAATCGTAAATGTGTGACATTAATTTGGTTAAAAATAAATTTAAATGAAAATAACATAAAATGAAGAAGCCAATATCATAAGTAAAAACTGCAAAATAAAATAAAATTGAAACTAATAACATACCCAACTGACCTTCTTGGCCTAAGCGGATAGCTTTTCGGTGCAATTGCACGATTTTCCTGTTCTGTAGGCAAATTCGCCAATGGTATTTCAACCATTCCTAGAAAATCATCACGAGTCAATCGATTCTCATCAAATACCTGTAACACCAGCTTATGTTCATTGGCTTTCACTTTAAATATGAACTCCTCATTCCACACGGGATTCAGCGTCTAAACACACCGAAACACACACATAATTAAACAATGCATTTTACATTCGGCATAATGGTGTTCTTACCTTCTTTTTGGTTTTTGTCAAAACAGAGTCGATGTTTATGTCGCCATTAATGGTGTTCAAGTCTATTCTTACGTAAGGATCACTGTATTGTTTGAGTTCGTCGTAAATGCACATCGAAGCATAGTAGTTAAATAAAAAGAGTGAACGACAACAAAAGAAAAATTATTAAAATATTTATATTTACAGGTGACAATTATTGCGCATTGTGTATTCAACTGAATTGTATCGTTTATTGTTAAGACGCAAAAAGCACATCATGTATCGTATGCGATTAAGTTGATAGATGAGCGCATTTGTTAGTCATTCAACAATAAAATGTTTACCTTGCACCGAATATATCTTTTTTTGCTAATGATTGTCCAGACATAATCTTGATTCGGAGTTGGCTTGTCCCCTCCTCACTCTGCAAAAAAACCAAACAAACAATAACAATAATTCAAAATTAAAAATAAATGGAGAAAGAAGAACAAGAGAGGAGCAAGAATGTAACAATGTATATGACTTATTTTGAATTTTCCGCAATGAAGCAAAAAGAGCGGCTATTTCAGTAAACAAATATCTTTACATATGTTTATTTTTAGTACATATTTTCTCCCCTAATCCCCTTGACGTCGACAATAGAAATAATAATGCTGAAATTGTGTCACGTCAAATAGTTATAGAATATTTGAAATATCAGCATGTTTTGTTTGATATTTGAAAGGGAAAAAAACCCAATCAATCGAAATTATGAATCGGTATTTTACTACTTGAATAAATAAAAAAAATTCGTTTTATTTAAATTTACTGTCGATAACTTTTAATGGGCTAATTGAAATTAGCGGTGTCATGAAACTGATTAACCGTTAATTTAATGATCAAATTACATTTGACCGAATCATTTTCGCTTCCAAAACTATTAATTTGTAGATAATTTTCAAGTAACAACCAACGACCTTGTGCTATGTGTTACTGTCGATGTTGGTCTATGGCATGCAAAATACATGGGCACAAGTACATAAAAGTAAACAAGCAATTGTATACACACATACATCGATAATGTCAACAATTTCCAGCTTGGTTGACATAAAATCGGTATCTTTTAAATTCTTAATATGATTTTATTTGTTCGTACATGTTCGCTGGCCTAATCATTATAATTGCATCTGTTGGAGCTGTTTTTTATAGGTATCATTGATTCAGTCGTATTTTGTATATTTCACATTCACTCTTCTGCACTTTCTCAAGGAAAATTCCAATAATGAATTTTTTAAAAGTGATCATGTATATGTGTTGTGCAGAGAACACGGCAACACACACATGACACCACATAATTTCATGCACTTCACTACCGAAACATTCAATTGTTGTTATTTCTTTTTTGTTCGGTTTTTCTTCGCAAATAATCCAACCATTTTGACCAGTTTGCCTTCTTTTAATCAACTCTCCATTGTTGCTAAATTAAATAGATATAGATGTCATGGGTCGACTATTGTCAAACTCATATAACTTTATGAACATATTTTTTCTCCGCATTTTTTGATCATCTATGATCTTTTACTAAATTATGTTCTTGATCGTCGCCAATTTATTCTTCATTTATATTCACATACAATACGCGCCCGTGTGTGTGTAAGTTTTTTTGTACATATTTGTGTACGAATTGTTTTTATGCTGTTGATTCATCAATGCGAAATAGCTACGACTATGTCGCAAAAGGATAGTATTTTTAAAAAAATGTGTATGACTCACATAGGATTCAATTGAACCTGGTAAAAAGCCGTAAATTGTTTCATCGCCATCGCCACCATCCGAAGACATATTGATTAAGTTGTACTTCGAAATTTAAAAAAAAAACCACTTTATTTTCGGTCACTTAAATAATTTTGGACAATATCCTCAAATGATTTTTTTGCATCAATTAATTATGGGGAAAAATGGTTTGCACACGTTAAGTAAATGTATCACAAAGTCTGTCAATAAATGTCCTGTATTCAAATTATTTTGCAAATATTGCCGCGATTGTACACTTCAATGCGAAAAAAAGTCAGTAATTACAAATAGTTTCACGGCAAAAAAAATGTGATATATATGATTAAATACGAAGAAGTAAACGATGAATGTATGCTAAATTCTTCACACAAAGAAACGAAGCTTATGTATTGTTTTCATAAATTTTGTTATTTTTTGTAAACCACTGTACAATTGATAAATTTCACAAATAAAACAGTACATAAAGAACAGGTGGTTTTTGTTAAACCGATTTAAGTCACAGACACACGAATCGCAATTTTTTAAATAATACTTTAATTATTATAAAAAAACTTTTAGTACTATTACATATTTCATTTTTTTTCCTTCTACTTTCTGATCATCTCAACAATTGACGTGTGACATTCATTGGTTTATGAATTGGAACGCATTGTATCGCATACCAAGGCGGCGTTAAATGTTTTTTTCACTTCATACATTCTTCTACATAGACCATAGACCGTGCGTTTGGTGTTAACCCAACTCAAAAGAGCAATGTTCAACCATCAAAATACGCAAATTAAATACATGACACACACTAACACACACACACGACAGAAGGAGACTGCAATAGCATGTGATATAAATGAACGAATAATTTAAACTAAGTAAGCATGTTTGCGTGTACAAGTAACAACAATATATGTGTATGTCACTCTAAACGTTGCGTTCAACAACAGAAGTGTACGAGAATCGAAAAATGAATTTGATGCGGCGAACGCTCATCGGTTAAATTGCTCAATTGAGTTTGTAATATATCATTAACAAATCAAATATCTCCGAGTTCGTTTTGATTTATTTTTGTGTATGCTTATCGAAATATCTAAATTTTCTTTATCAAAAGTTAATTAGGAAAAAAAAAGAACAGCGCTCTACGAATGGGCACATGACTGCTTACATTTCGTTTCCAATCAATTCAAACTTCGGCTATGTTGACTGGAGAGAAAAAAAATTGAAATTCTCAAATTGTTGGAAAAATGCCTATTGAAAGCGAATACAATAGTTTGAACTACAATATAATTTACTACTAATGTATTAATAAATTTAAAATTTGTTTTGCATTAATGGAACGCACTTTTTTTTTGCTGTTGCTTCTTCACATTTCTTGTATGCTTGAGTAAAATGCTTGCATGTAATATAAGGGTAATTAAATATACATTTTTAAGTGAATTTTTTTTAAGTTTCATCATAGTTTGAAGTTTAAACTATTCTGATGTTTCGTAAAATTCGGATACACAAATTATGTTTTGCATGAATGAAAATTCGGTACGGAAATCAGCAATAATTTGAATTTATTTGCTATAAATATGATTATGATCCAAGTATGATTTGTGGTATCTGGAATGTTGTACGTGCATTCATTTGCACGCACACAATCAGTCAGGAGAAATTCGAGACAATGGTGTTAAATAGAAGTAAACCAAAATGAATAACATTGCTTTCAAGTGATAAGAGGAGTGTGCGATCTTGAATTGTTTGTCCTATAATCTTATCAGATTGTTCGCTGATTTTGGCGACATAAAAAGATATCGTACATTTTCTTAAGCGATTTCAACGATGACATTTCAGATTAAGGTTTGATGGCAATAAAATGTTGAAATGAAAAGATTCATCATTTATTGAATGTCTAAAAATTCAATGTTCGGTAGTTTGTAGAAGTATATGCAATTTAAGAATGTATCTATGTTGTTTGCGCTGATTGAACCTGAGTATTTTGTGCTGTCACTTTCGTTTATGGTAACTTCCTCCCGAATTAAGTGAATACTTCAAAATATAAAAGAAAGAAACAAGGCACATACCAGAGTTGTATTAAACAGTGATCGCCTGGTCGGTCGCACATTCGTTGTTGCCACAGTTGGTACATGTTGTAAAGAGTTGGACCGTCGCCTTGGTGGTGGTTGAGGTCTTGCCGAATGTTGATCCCATGTTGGTCGGCCCGCTGATGTGTAACCAAACGAGTTATTCATATTATCCATATGAGGTCTCATGATTATGAATTGTTTTTATTCACACTTTTCGCGGGTACAAACAATTACACTCGATTTTTTCTTGTAATACTTATTAGTTATTTTTATCGAATTGAAAAACCATTTAGCACGGAATCGTTTGGAATGTCGTTACACTTTATAAACAATAGTACGAGAAAAAAGGAACAGTACGGTATTAATGACGGTCACTTTTTCGATTGTTTTAATAAAAAAAAATCGCTTCGTAACCATTAAACACTTGCATTCCAAGTACTTGAGTCACACAGTTTTGATACAAATGATTCTTATCCGTTATCGTTTAACAAATCGCACCGAAACTTTTTTATTGTTATAGACGATTGCCTGAACATTTAATCACAGTTGCCACAGACTATTTTCGAAATTGGTAAAATCATAAGACCATTTCAATTAAAATATAAAAACAAAAACAATAATAGATGAATGCGTGTGCAGTTCATTTTATTGCTTCTCAATCGAGACTTTTATTCACTTAGCGATTGAGTTTGGTAAGATTCTATTGTTTCAGTTTTTGGTCTACCGATATTGACTACATGATTATTTTGGTTCGACAAAACGGAAAAAAATGTCTCCGTTTGGAGATGTTTTACACTTCCAATTGAAACTAAAAACTGTTTTGTAGTTGTGATTACATGGGCCCACTGTCTCAACAAGTTCAACAAAAATGAATAACGAGCAATAGCGTAGCACACTCCCAACTTTGTGTGTATCGTGTACAGTAGATGTATCTGTCAAATACGATTGTGTGTATAATTTTTCTCATGCGGCGAATTGAACGAACGAAAGCGGCAAACGCAATACATTGCAACGCATTTCGGTTCAAATATTGCGTTTCTGATGATAATCTCTCAAGTAAAACTGCTTTTGTTTACGGTGTAAGAAATTGGCATCATTTATTTTATAATAGCTTCTTTTTTTGATCGCAGACAAATTGATTGAGTTTGTTTTTCTTTGTTTGTTTGTTTTTTTTTTTACTTATGTTACACAACATTTTTGTTTCTACGAAATATGGTAATACAAAATAAAAATCAGAGAGAGAAAGAAATTGCCTAATGATTAGAATCAATTATGGTCAAATAGAAATTTAAATAATGGATGTTTTGAGTTGTTTTTGTTTTTTTTTTTTTCTGTCGGAAACATTAAATAAGTCATGTTGTATGAAATGTAATTGTACTGGAACCGCATTCTTTAACCGTACATTGCCACAACGTGACACGCACTCATCGTCGCAGGTGTTCAAGATGGTGATACTTCGTTGTCACTTTTGGCCTCGTTCTCATTCACCAAATGCAATGGAATCACAAATTTATGGGCGAATGGACTTTTGTAAATAATGCCAGCATCACGATAGAATTTTTCCGGAATGGCGAGATTGGACAAATACAATTTGCCACAGGTAAGCGATATATTTTCTAATGGTAATATCGGAAGAATGGAACACTTAACCGTCAACATTGGTATGCCAGAAGCTGGAGGATCGATGGCCATTATCGGTGATCTAAAAATGAAATTTATTTAAGAATTAAGCTCTAATTATAAAAATTTAATGAAAATATTGCCAACCACATACCGGCTTTCGGTTATCCACTTTAGAACATTTTTATCAACAATTGGCTTTGGAAGCGATAAAATAATGAGATCACATGATGGCATTTCTATAAAATGATAAAACGTACTTTAAGTTTTTGTTTTCGTTATTATTATTCGGTTATTCTTATACTAACCATCGACAGACATTGTAATGGCATTGCCGGTGGCCTTGAATAGTTCAGCTTCTCGATTGCTTTTTAGTGCCGAACTTAAATTCGGTTTCACCAAAATGTGTACCTGTAGTCCCTGTGAAGCCAATTGACGGCCAGTTGCAAAACCTAATTCACTATAGCGTTCGTTGCACATCTCATCACAAATAATTGCAATTTTTGGCCACTGATGCTGATTCTTCAGCGATAAACGACGTGCACCGCCCAACACTTGTAAACACAATTCAACGGTGCTCCGTGACAGCATATCGCATTGTCTTTCCCAGTCCAATCCAAAGACTTCGGCTTTTAATTGAATTCGTGAACGAATTTCAGCGGAAATAGTCGGAATGATGATGCCATCATCAGTCACATATTCTTGAGCAGTACAACGATCTTTTAGCGTAATTTGACGATAGCCCGTTGGTTTTGACGTTAGAATGTTTTCGTCATGTCGATAGTTTTTCACTTTTTTATTAACATGTCGCACCTGAAACACCGAATCGAAATTGAAATGAAATCAAATGGCGCAAATATAATGTGATAATTGATATGATATGAAATAAATGATTTCGTACCAGATCTGGTTTCTGATTTGCATCAATCTTATCCCAAATTGCTTGTTTATCGAACAATGCCAAATTTTTTTCAAAATCAAACTCTTCGTCCAGAACAATATCATCCACCGGGGTGCTAAACGTAATATTTTTGTCAAATCGATTGCGATTTGCTTTCTTTTTGTCCATTTTATTGAATGCCAATTGCTGTGCAACCGTTGGGGCACTAGGTTTATTAAATGTACCATTATTTGACGATGCAGCTATGTCAATTGGTTGACTTGCATTTCGTTGCAGTATCACAACACCTGATGCCAATTTATTGCCGTTATTGTTACTATTGTTGTGGTTGTTGCCATTATTATTATTGATGCTGCTGCTGCTGCTGATGTTGGCATTATTAATATTGCCACTATTGATTGTTTGTGCACTTGAATGGGCCATTTTCACTTCAATACTTTTCGGAATAAAATTCCCAAATGCATTTTTAATGCTAACGGGTGACTTTGCTTTGAAATTTGCCTTTTGATTAGCCGGTGGTGATCTGTTAGAATAAATACAATCAACAACATAAATTTACAAATAAATAATTTGAATTGAATAATTTCAGAATAAAACAAAAAAAAAAAAATATAATAACATTTAAATAAAAATGAATGCAATGAATTTGCGTACTTGTTTACAGGTTTTGTCTCCTTATTCGTAATATTAATTTTGTTGAATATTTGCTCATCGATTTGTGTCGCATTGTTCAGCGAACCGTTATTTACATTGGCTGCGTTATGTGATGGAATAAGACTTATCTTCACTATATCCTTTGCCCTGTAAATAAATATTGTTTGAAAAACGAAACCGTAATCGATTGTATTTTATTGAATTTGTGACTTACAATATTGTGACCTCTGCGTCTGGCGTTTTTAACGGAAGACCATTTCGAAATGCTCTGCATATTACAATTTTCGATGCGTTTGCATCTTTGATTGTCCCTTGGAAAATGCCAAAGTCGTCAACACATTTTATCGAAACTGCCTTTCCAATCCAATTTTCGCTCATATTTATCGAATTTTCAAATTTTCCAAATTTATCAAATAAAATAAATGTTACTTTTTCAGCCAGATATGCTAAATATTATGTGCTGGCAATGACTTTACTTTTATTTGCAAAGACGCACTTTTCGTTTACGCAAAATTGTGAAAGTGTCAAAACTTGTTTGTTATGCTTACAGAAACCTCGTTTTTTTTTCTAAATCTAGATTTTCTCTTAATCTCAACAAAAAACTATCATTGATTTGCAATGGTTATTTGGATCAATTGTACGTCTAGTTAAATGTATCACTTTTCAAGAAATAAATTGTCATTATATACTTATCGTAAAATTTACATTGGACAAAAATCGAATACAAATTTTATAGCTTATACAAATAATAATGAACTGGTACTGTATTTAGAATGTTTATTGCGAGCAAAACAACAAAAAAAAATTTCAATGAAACATGATACAATAGGAGTGAAGTTGTTTCAGAGAGAATATGAAGCCAAGAATGTGTTGCGCAACTAAAGTGAAGTTGGTTCACAACATAAATTATGGTTTGAATGTTAAAAAATTGAATTCGTTTTATTTAAAATAAAATGTTCATATTGTTCATTTTCATTCATATCCTTTTTAAAACATAAATTACATAACTATGAATGAATGAATAATGAATGGTATAAAATAGTTTTCTTTTTATAAAGGATTCAGATGTTTTTAGACATAAATTAGACGTATGTACTAAGATTTATACGCGAATCATCCTAAATCGCAGTAACAAGTGTTTCAGCGTTAAATCTGCAAAAAAAAATACCAACGCAAATACATAAAACGTGATATTTTGGTCGCTTATGGTAACCTCTCAAGTAGAGAGTAAAACAGAAACACTAACTTCATCAACACCGCAGAACGATATACGAGTAACATTCGAACACTTGTGGTTCAGCATAAAAAACGCTCTCGAAAGCAGAAATAAAGATTTTTATCCATAGATTTAATCCAAGGATTACGTTCAAATCATAAGTATACATTCGATAAATTAGTTTATTAAACAAAATAAAAGTTGATTTGCTACTTGAAAAAAATATCGTTGCTTGTCATCATGCCCAAAGGAGGTTCATCAAACCAAGTTCCACCGAATCACGAGGTAAGTTTTTCTCAAGATCTTTTTTTTGTTAATTTATATTATACATATGATTTTTTCGAATACTTTGAAACAATAAATTGCAATGCGATCACAGTTCTTATAGCTAACTCTTTTTGTTCCGTTAGGTGTTGAACAGCTGCGAAAAATGTGGCGAATTGACAACCACCACATTTTTGAATCCAGATAAATTTTGTTGGCGTGATGGTGCAAAAATTGACCAAGTTGTCGTCCCAAAATCCCAAAATCAAAAATGATTTTCATGCGGAACAATTTTTTGTTATTTTTCAATGGAAAATAAAAAAGATAATACGATTTTCAATCGTTATAAATTAATAACCGTTGTACTTGTTTTATTTTAATTTAAAAACACTGATTTACCCTTGACGTGATATGCAAAAGCATGTAAAAATCTATGATTTCATCATTTCATGCAATTTATCTTTCCACTTGTTGATTGCGCGGCATCTTTATAAATTTCTGGGAAAATGGCAGCATTTTATCTAGACTTTCTGTGTTTTTCCATTGTAATTTCATTCTTATTTTTTCCCAGTTTAATCTGATTCGAATATATGTGTAATGACTAAAAATTGGTGTGTAAGTATTGCAAAATAACGGTAATTAATGTATAGAGTGTGGTTCTGTTTCAGTCTTACAGCAGTGGTCACTTTGACATTTCAACATTAATCATAAAATATTGGAGTGGTGTTTATATTCACTGAATTTGTTGCTGGTCATAAGATCTGAAGTTGGACGATAGTCAAAAATGTGGATTATTTATTTTATTAGATTATTTATTGAGGTATATTTTTTAGACACAAACATACATTTTTGTATTTTAAAATGTTAGGCAATCGATTTCTTTACTCCATTCCTTCTTTTCCTTCACTTCCGTTGTGTTCCGTGTAATTTGTATAATTAATTAGTATACGGACATTAAGGCCGTCCAAAAATGAAATATAAATATGGGCATATCCCATTTATATCCAGTGATTGGGCATTTTCAAACTCAAAAATAAACCATATTAACACATATTTTCTTAACATCTCATCGCCTTTTCATATCTTTCTTTGTTCAACAAATAATTAAAATTTGTTTGAGATAAAACAATTCGGTTCATGGTGTTCTGTTCGATGAACAATAGTATTCCATGTATACCGTAATGATTCCAATTCCCGAAGTGATTGAAAAATTATTCACAGACTCATGTCTCTTAATCAAATAAAATATATCTTGTTTAATTGAGTAAATTTACGGTTCATATTCAACCGCTGCGAATCATGCGATTTTGTGAAACAAATTGGTTTTATGATAAGTAATTCAAAATTGGTCAATTTTCTAGCGGAAAAAGTCGTTAGGGAATCCACGAGAGCCGCTTTTGGTTTGAAAACGAACAATGTCAATTAGCTCCAAATTTGAGCCTCAAATGTTTTTAACAAATAATTTCGAACCAGAAGAAATGGACAGAGCATATGTTATTTTCACTGTGATTCAATGACTGGGTGTTTGGTCAATTGGTTTTTATTTTTCGTATGTGATACTTTAGTCATTCCACAAAAGCAGCCAGCCATAATTACGGATGCGCAGTGATTATTTTTTATCAAAGATTCTTTTTTTTGGTTGAATTTTGTTTTTGAGAAAGTCCATAAATACAACAAATATTCCAGGAATTGGTTTCAATACGATCATTTCTGTTCAATATATATTTTTTTTAATTTCTGTAATTCAGTCAATATCTTTCTTCAATATTTACATTAATAAATTGTCCATTATAAGCAGTAAAATTTTGACTTGATCATTTTATTTTATTTTGATTTTGATTTTTTTTTGTCTTCATTGTACTTAACTAAATAAAAATAGAATATTCATTTCTTCATCATCAAAATATGTTGTAAAATTTTCCATCTCTTGAAATCCATTTGCAACAAATCTACACATTTTCTAAATTTCAAAATAAAATGTAGCATTGAAATAATATAATACAATAAAAAAGAAATTGTTTCATCGCTCACAAGTTCTTCTGCCATTACAATACATACTCATTTACCTTAATCGATATAACTTCGATATATTCATTTTCTTCTCTCATAATGTAAAATAATAATATAACAATATCAAAACTAAGATCTAAACAATATTATTCATTTATATGTTAAAAAATATTACGTTACCACAGTTAAAATAATTCGTCTAATTTGTTTGTTTAAAATGTCGCCCATCACATTTATCTGTGTGGCCATCATCATTCCAGGACCTTTTTTATTGAGTTGGTTAATAATTGTGTATGTTTATTTGATAAACGCATGTTAAAATTTACACTGATGACTCAGGTGTTATCGTTGGTTTCTCTTTCGAATAATCATCTTCTTTGTCCTTTGACTCTGGATCAATATCAATTCGATTTGCTTTATGCCAAACAACAACGTCCATAATAAAAGCCAAAAACATAATGCCAGAAGTTGTTCCTATGTTTCAATAAAATAACAAAACATGATTGACATTATTTTCATTTCGATGATATGCATATTTGAGGAAATTTACCCAAAAAGAAATGACGAAAAGAATCTGGGTTATACAGCGAGCATGCACCCTGCTTATCACAAATGGTTTCCCAAATTAAACATGTCGAATCGATAACAGCACCATAAATAATCGGACACGGAACATTTCCAAATAAACTGGTTGCAAACTGAATGATGCCCATTGCCATTGCTTTATCTAGTAAAGAAACACCATGAAGAATTATCATACCATTCTCATAATATAATTGTAAAACAATGAAAAAAGAAGAAGAAATATTCATACCTTTCGGATCGGTGCATCGCATTACCAACAACATACTTCCGACCTCCGATGTTGAATGTATAAACACCAAGAACGAGAATAATATTATAAAATAGGTGAAGTTCTGGCAGTTCACATCACAAAAACCACTAACGGCTTCCACTTTATCCGAAACACTTTCAGCTGAAATAGTTCAATGTACAAATAGTAATGTAAAATTTTGCAAATAAACCATTTTCAACATTTCAATTTATAGGTATGTAACGATGAGGATTAAAAATGACTTAAAATATCTACTCTATTGCAATTTGCCGATGCAAAAACAGACGCAAAAAATTCTTCAAGTCATTTTTATTCTCATCAACCCATATCTAACATACGTTTTTCAATGCAGTCACAATCGAAGAAATGTGTTTTTCCACCTTCAATAAGAGAACTGCGACAACCCGCATAACATGATGAATAATACGTTCTACCATCTATACCGCAGATTGGCGAAAACTTGTTGCTATCACATTTACAATTTTGGTTACATGTCAAATCGTACGAAACAGTTGTTAAATTTCTGAAATCAATCGAAATGACGACGTTACTTGGCGATTTACTTTTTAAAAAGTAAAATTGAAAAGAATACGTACGACTCAATTTGACTGAATTGATCGGTTTTCACATCAATCCCTCCAACAAAATTGTCCAAAGAACACCCAATAAACATCAGCATTGCCATGCCTGTAAATTAAATCACAATTTTAATTGAAGCAATAATTAAATTGAATTTTTTGCCACTATGTCATACCCAATGAATACATTAACGCCGTGAATGCAATCCAAGCAGCTACCGATCTTGCCGTTGGACTAAACTTCAGCAAAACAAATCCAGAAACAACAATACCGATTCCCATGACCAGAATTCCGCCCAGCCCAGTTATCAAATTTGCATCATGGGCGGGTAAATGAAATTGAGATTCTAAATATTTTGGCAAAAATGTATATAGACCGGCTATCGGAAGCAAATGCAACACCGACGAAGCGGTACGAAACATAAGTATATCATTTTTCAAGTGTCGTTTAATTGTCTTTGGAAAGTCTGAGAGTGTATAAAATAAATAAAAATCAAATATTTTCGAATTAGATTGAAATACATAAAAAACAAAACAGTTTTAAAACAAAAAAAAAATATTGAATGAGATTGAAACCTTTCAACTGAGGTTTTGATTCTTCTTCTGGTTGTTCTATTTTGTTTATTGTTTTATGCACGTCGATTGAATCAACTTGATGTGGTGCGGGTATTCGGTTTCCTCTCAATTGCTTCGGAAATGCCAGCATGGCCAGTGATGTGATAATCATTAGTGATGAAATCATTACCAAACCTAAAATAGAATTTCGAAAGTGTTGAAAAAACGGCCAAAAATGAACAAAAGAAAAATATTCATATAAAGCATGTATAAAAAAAAATTGCGCGCCAAACGAAAAACTAAAAAAATAAAAATAAAAATTGTGCATAGTCACAATATATTGATTGGTAGGTATGTAATCATCGATTAGATATTAAAAAGAGAATTGTAAATGATGCGAATGAATGGATATCAATTAAAAATACGCAGCATCATATTACTTTGATGACGAACAAATACAATGGTATGCATATGTAGGGAAAAACATCCAATATAAATTACTGTACACTTGAAACGTTGACAATGAGAACCATAATTTGATTCATATGTAATTTAAGTGAAGATACAAAGACCTGTTTGTGCCTGTTGGTTAAAATGGTATTGCCGAATGTCGATGCATGCAATTACACAAAGAAAAGACCAACACCAGAGACTGTGTTCATCGTTCACGTACCAATCGTCAGTCCTTATGGTCTCGGTTATTTTATTTTATTTTGTTGCGCTTTGTTGGCAACACCGAGTTGCTGATAATCAAACGTTTTGTGTCAGGTAATATGATTAATATTTGATGAAAATTCCAGCAAGGACATTGCCCTTAAATTATAATTGATGGTTTCAACGGTCGATATGGACGTATTCGTATGATCATAGTAGTTTGGAATGCATCGACACCGTTATCCATTTTTAGAATCACGCATCATTCAATTTTGCTTTGTTTCTGGGTTTTTCTTTCGTTGTGGATTCTATGAAATGCGTTTAATACAGTTTGGATTTAAAAAAAAAATCGAGAAAAAATTTGTATTTTAAAGAGAATATATGTGTTGTTGTACCGTCTTTGTTTGGACGCTTGAATGAAAACACTTGTTTAAATTCATCGAAGCTATTTATGTGAAGAAGTTTAATTATTTCATTTACTTACCAAGATACCAGGCACCAACCCATTTCGGATCAGACGGTCCAAAACCAGGATCACTGAGATCGACATACAATCTTGTACAAAATGATCCCAATATAAAACCGGCCGCCGGTCCCAATATTCGTACACCAATCGTTATGGCTGTAGAGACAATTTTCATTTGTGTTACAAGCGAAACATTTCAATTCGTTTTGATTGAACATGAAATAAGAGTGAACGCGTGTTACCTATGTAAACAGCTGACTCTTTGCTAGCTACATTATCATCAATATACGGAATGCCGAGTGTTGACACAGCAGTTTGTCCGATACCAACGAAAAGTAAACTCATGAAAAATATTCCCAAAATAACATTTCGAATTTGTGAATGTGCCTCCTGTTCTAGCAACGTTTTTTCCTCGCAAACTGTAACCAATTGGAAGATTAACGTCGATTAAATGGTTTATTAGCAAGTGTACAAAATTAAGTCATACAACTAACCGTTACCATTGCTATAGTTGGAGTTTTGATGGCATAGATTTGCATGCGACGGTAAATGTATATCACTGATGTATGCATCACTATCGGAAGAATTTTGTGATGGTGAGGTAGATATGGTTACTGCGTTGTTTATATTGCCACCGTAAAATGTATTGGTTGAATGTAATAGATCATTTCCAAAAATAAAATGTGGCAGTGTGCAACCAAATGTTGCCATTGCGAAAACAATCATTCCTGTTACAGCCCATTGCGAAAAACACATGCGACGAGAATGAAATGAAAAAATAGAAAGAAAGAAACCGAATTATATTAAAAGCAATTACAAACAATGTGCGTTTGTTTATTCAATTCGATCGAAATTTTTGCGAACTTGCGATAATTGAATTATTTACTGTGCTAATGAAAAAAATAAATATCAAACCGAAAATGAAATGAGCATCATTCTCATGTGCGCACTTTTTTCCATCTTTCTGATATTCATGGATTAAACGAGAACAAAAAAAAAAGCAACAACAGACGGAATAAATATACAAAAAGAATGATTACCACACGCAATCCATCGAGGGCGATGTCCTCGACCGGCAAAATACGTCAAAAATAATGATGTACAGATCTGACCAAATTCAGTTGCACTCATTAGTAGACCAGTTGTTTTAGATTTGATTTGAAAAAGCTTCTCGATCGTTGTAATCACACTTACAAAATATGTAAAATACATTCCCTGTGGAATGAAAATGGGGAAGAAGGGGTGAGAAATACACCAAATGGTTAGTCTTTGATTGGGCCAAAAAAGAATGTTTGTGACAAAGAAAATTACCTGTAGAATCCATGCAAGCAGAAATATCACCATAAATACATGAGTCGAGGCAAATACTCGTGCCCATTTTGGTTTGCAGAATCCAATACCACAATCAGATCGTTCATAGTAATCGTCATTTGGATAATCGTTTTTTGGATGTCGTACAACACCTGTAAGCGACTCATGTTCACTTTTACCATTCAAACCATTTGCATTAGATAGGGCATTGGCTGTATTTAGGTTTGGCTTGTATAATCCCAATGAATCGTCGTCTTGAGGTAGTTCTCTCCAGACATATTTTGAATTGGTTAAATTGCTGGGTGAGGTTAATACAGGCCATTTATTATTGTTGGTTGTTGGAATATCGCTGGTATTATGATGACCCAAAAGTGGAAGCCACGTGTGCGAATCACCACTGTTCGGCTTCAATATGGCATTGCTGTTGATATAACCTTTTGGTGATACATGGTTTCCGGTTGGCCAATGCTCGTCGGTATTTAGTCCATTATTGCTGTTGCTATTGACTTCACCTTGAAGATGATCATCTTCAGGACTCATTTTGGATCAATTGACTTGTGTACGAATTCAGTGACAAAATACGTGTGCGAATCGGTAACTCTGTCAAATTGGACTACCGGCGATAGCGTCAAACTGAAATAATAATCAACAAGCAAATAAATACGTGTGTTACCATTGTTTTTTTTTTTTGTCTGTTTTTCAGTTGTATATCGGAACATGAAAATTTTCAACATATTTTATATTAGTCAATTCGATTGGCGCAGATGAATTAATTTGGTGGATAAATCACATGTATTTAGTTCGAATGTGATTCGATCACAGCGTTTCTGGCGACACATTATGCAAACATTTCTCATTCACCAATTTGATTATCTTGTTTCGCTTCTTTATCTCTTTCTCTCTTTTCTCTCGCTTTTTTTTGTATTCACTTCCATATAACCCATGTAATGACATGACATATGCGTTTCGTTTTTTTTTTTTCTCTTACATTTCACGACAAATATATTGCCTTATTTGAGATTTCCGATTTCATCGCATATGTATGGACCAAAAATTTACATTTGTTAAAATTTTAAGTTTTTTGTTTGCACAATCGAAAATGTTTTATTTATTATTTGCAAATAATGTAATAAATAATCTTCGACAGCGATGTGTGTCCACTGTCGTGAAAGAACGGCAATTGGATGGTTACTATAGTAACAACAAAATAAAATTACGTTAAAAGGAATTGAAAATCAAATTACATATTTTGTATAGCGTTGGGCTCTGTTATTTGGCACGAAGCAAACGCAATACACATTCAAACTGAATCACATGCATATTGCCGAATGAAAAGAAAAAAAGTCTGTTGTATAACGATTTGATGCTTTCTTGGTAGAAAAGGTGAATAAATTCTTTGCGTCATACCGGAAAATACGAAAATACGAAAAAAAGAGATAACGGTAGAGATCGACAATACCGATGACGATGCAGAAAAAAAACTTCGACTAATACGTTGCCTGAAATATGTAGTAATTTTGCGGCAAACCTTAATTGGTGGCACAAACAGTGTCCTCTTTCTCTATGTATATATATATTGGCCCATTTCATTTGGGCGACGTTCAAAAAAGCCGATGCGGCATCAACGGTCAGATAAAATGTTCCGAATGACGCGATTTTCTCATGTTTATCATCAGCATTTACCAACGTTGTTTTTTTACTCTTTTTTTTCAGCGGCAATCAATTTCAAGCCATCAAATTAATGCGCCTTGAGATGCACACATTTACTAAAATGCTTTTGGCTTATGCGCATAAACTGTTCAAAACTTTCTGAATAAAATGCGTTTGTGTTTTTTTTTGCTCAGCCCTAATTAATCAACAAGTTTGTTGCCTTCTGTGTGTTTGCTGTCATGTAGTTGCACTATATGAAGAAACAAAAACAAACTCGTTTGCTCTTTTTGGTTAAAGCTAACTCGTTCGTACGCATTGGGCGGCATATATTAATTGAGCGTTTGTTTGTCATCGCGATATAATTGTTAATGAACAAATAAATCTTTGGCCATTTCGTGTTATCTTTTGCGATGTTTCTTTTTGTTAGCTTTCAATTTGTTTTCCGTTCGTCGAAACACAACAAAACCATAAAAAGAAAAGAAGAACTTTTAATTCTTTGCTTTTTTTTTTTGTATAAAAATTTGTAGGTGTTTTTAACTGCACACCACCGATAATAACAAGATTAGATAAAAGAAAATTACAACAGTTAACCCAATGGAAGTCAGACTGGGGTCGGAGAAAGTTTACAATTTAATTTCGTAAATTTGGTTGAAATTATTTGCCATTTTCTGATGTAAGCTTACAAATCAATTTATTGCAATCGGTTATGTTATTCAACCTGAAATTTATGTATAAAAATGCCGTTAATTCAATCGAGTAAAAAAAGAAGAAGAAGAAGAAGAAGAAAACACTTTTCTGCGACGAGTGTAAAATTTATTGTCATTTCAATTTTATCGCTTGGCACCTCTATCTGGCTCGTTCCTCATCTGTTAGTTGGTTTGCTTTTGATTTAGTGACATAAGCTCATCAATGCAATTATGCATTGGAATCTTTTTGAAATGTTGCACTTCACATCGCCAACTGATTTACGTAATGAAGAGATTGGAATGTGAGAACGTTGGCGACAATCGTCTCACTGGAATAACCATGAAGTCAGCGTGAATGAAATTACATAATTTAAACGATTCAATTGGAAAATTACGGTGCATCTTGCGCCCATTTTTATATTGAAAACCAAAAGGCTGTGCTTTAAAACTTGATTAGAATATTAAAATGGCTAAAAACGCGTCAATCAATTTTCTAATTTCTAATGCAATGAATGCAAATTATTTGTGACAAAATCAAAAGGAACGCATGGTGTTGATATGTCAACCACTTGATGAATATTAATTTTATTGAACGCTATGGTAAATGTATGTGTTATACAATGCAAGCAACTAATATTTTATTACCTTTCGGGTGCAGTTCCACTGCCACAAACCGCAATTTAATTTACCGATTAAAAATTAATTAAAGTCAACTATTAAAGATTTTGGCCATAGTATGGATATACGGTCATTGGATTTCGCTTTCTAATAGAACTTCCATGTGGATCCTCTCACAAAATATATTTTCGGAACAAAGATTTTCTCTTCGGGGAATTGGATTCTTCGGACAAACTACTTTGGAAATGTTAACATAAAGCAAGAGATCGCTAATTGTAATTAGAATTGAAAATGACCCAAAGTCAATAATAGAAGTCGTTACGAATGAATACACGCGCAATTGATAAGTTTGAAATGAAAATTTATTAAAAAATAGGATTTTATTCATTATTATAAAATCACAAAAATGTAAATTGATTTATTCAATTGAAAAAAATTGCAAATATTTCTGACTAAGTGATTGTCATCCAACAAACGTAATTGACACAATGTTACTTTGGTTATTTTAAGTAGTTAAAATTGGTGTTTATCAATTTGACTCTGATCGTTTAAACGCAACACATGATGATCTCTGCAACAATCTGTTATTATTTTGAACTTCAAATGCAAACGAATTTTGTGAGCGAAAATTAATTCGTATGCTTGTCATGCCGTCGCAAGCAAAAAATTATGCATTGAAACTTGATCTTTTATCGGCAGAAATGTTCGCCGTCAAACGACCCGAAAACGGGAAGGGGTCGAGTGAAAGTGTACAAAGCTCATATTTATCCATTTGAAATGAGAGAGAGAGAGAAAAAAAAAACCTAATATGAATACATATGCGATTGCTTTTGGAGTCATTGCGCATGATTCTGTTAATTGTGCAGACAGACAGCCAGACAAACGAACTTATTTGGCTGACACAGACGAAGATAACATAAAAACACACAAATGATTGATTCAAATGAATTGCAATTGAGGAAATGAAAAGAAAAGTTGAAATATAAATCACACAAAAAAGTGGGCACGACCTAACATTTTGACGGTTTCGAGCTGATTTATAAAAAATGTGCATACAAAAAAGAAAGTTCTGTATAAAATGAAATTGAGCAAAAATCAACAATGACATTGTCGAAATCAGACGCAACTTGGCAATTTGAAATGAAGCAACAACAAAATATATATTGAAAAGAATCATGCGAAGTGAAAAAATAAAATCAACACGATCAGTCGAGAACCGAAACACGTGGTTAATATTCCACGCGACAAATACCAAAAGTAAAAACTGCGCACACATAAAAATGCTTTTATTTCAATGTTAAGGTCATTTCATTTATTGAACTTGTATCGAATCTGCATACGCGTCTGAATGGGCCAACCGTTTATATACTATACGTGCGTTTGTATGTGTATTCTTTTTGTTATTTTTTTATTTGTATTTGTGTGTCGATGTCGTTTGTATGCGATTATAAAATTGAAATAAAAAAAAGCGAGAGATCGAGAATACTTTCCATTACGAGTACTACAAAAAATGATGCCGATCTTTTGATGAGTATCGAAACGCAATTGTGTTCCAGCAAAAACATTAAAATCAACTCAAATTACTTATGCAGTAATTCTGTTACTCATTTATAATGCTTCATCTTTACTCCTTTATTAATCATCACAACATCACTTTTTGTTTGCCAATGTGACATATGGTGTGTGTGCTTTAAATTATGGGATTAGACGCAAAATTGTATTTTACCTATTAATAATTCGGTAAATAGTTAAATGAATCGAACAAAATGACCAATGATGTATTTAAAAGCATTGATTGGTATGATAAACTTTTTAATTTTGCAAAATGTAAGTCTGACACTTTTTCATCGGGTCGCCCACAAGAAGATCTTGTGATTGATCATTTATCAATGATAAAGGGTCGAATAACACATAATAATTTAACATACACAGTAGTAATAAATTATTTCCAACTAGCCGATCGTCTATTATAACATCAATTTTTATGGATGATTAGGCTGATATTGAGTGTTGATGTTGAATGATGTGATGATCATTAACATTATTATTAATAGAGAAGTCAAAGTCTGTAAATGAGAGAAACAAAAGTGGAATATTCATGAAAATGCCGACGTCAAATAAAAATTGCATTTAAATCGCTGATAAAACTCCTTATCAAATAAAAGTAATAATCAAACGCGGCGAACATCACAGATGCAGATTTATTAGATGATTTTATAATTAATGCTGTTTTCATTGAAAATGAATGTTCGACACTAAAATGTATAGTTTACGATGTACACTGTGTGCGTGCGCGCGCATGTATGCATTTACATATGTAATACGTTAGTGGGATATTATAGCTATGACATAGACACGATATACCTTGAGATGGTTCGTTCAACTTATTGATAACAAATGCAAGAGTTTTATCATTCTTCTTCTTCAATCAATTCAAAATAGGTCATGGAAATTCATTTATTTTAATTGTAAGGAGGCTTCAGGATCAACAAACTTTTTTAAAAAAATCACAAATATTTCAAGCATATGAATGCTTATCTCACCACTCAGTTGCATTCAATTCCAAGAATGTATTTTTGTGTGACTTTTATGAAAGGCGATTGTCAAGTTCAAAAAGGTGTTGAAAGCAAATAAAGTTGTAAAAAATGATTATCAGTTTTCGTGCAATTGCAACAAACA